GGAAGGTGGGAAGATGTTTTAAGGGTAAGAAAATCAATAAAACAAAAACTGCTGAGAAAGGACCCTTCACGCAGCTGGATTGAAGGCAAAGAGGGAGTGATTCATGAGTTCTATGCTGGTGATATGACCCACCCAAACTCGAAAGAGATTAAGGAAGCACTTGAGGATCTTATTGGTCGGCTTAAGTCACATGGCTACGAGCCAAACTTAAGCTCTGTGCCTTATGATCTGAATGAAGAACATAAAAGGCGAATACTTCTCACACATAGTGAGAAGCTGGCTTTGGCATATGGGCTGCTCATCACTGATTCTGCTGGGTCTACCATCAGGATCATGAAAAATCTAAGAATCTGCGAAGATTGCCACTCATTCATGTGCGGTGCATCTCAAATCACTGGCAGGGAGATTATTGTAAGGGATAACAAGAGATTTCACCATTTCCATAATGGTGTATGCTCTTGTGGTAACTTTTGGTAATTAATAGAACTACTTGAGATCTCTCAAGTCCCAGTCTATGTTAGTTTAAAGAATCCTTTTTCTTTGGAAATGGCCATTACTCTGTCACAGGTGCCACAGTTGTGAGGAATTGGACTTCTTGTTCAACTGAAGGATATGATTAATCCATTCAAGGGAAAATCTGAGTTCCAGAATTGTGTAAAATTCCAGGTGCCAAGTTATATAACAGGTAATTATACTGCATATAATAATTTTCAACATTCAGAGACGGTTCAAAATTGCACGATCACCTGAAACAGTTTTTACTAGCCTTCAGGCATTCTTGCAAAGCTTTTAACGACAGTCGATACTCATTCCCTTTTTCATAGTTCAAGTGACTTAGAGTGTTATGATTTTACATGTTTCAGATAAGCTGCTTAGTAAGTGTTTCTCAAGGCATCGCTGGGTTCTAAACATGGAGATATCATATAATCTGGCAAGATCTGGTACATTACAGGCAGTTTGCTTACTACAACTTGTTGGCCAAAGTTCAGCAGGAAGCTTGTTGCAGCAAAAGACTGAAAAAGGCAAAATTCTGAAGTTGGTACCCTGTGTGGGTTCAGAAGAGATAAGAATCCAGTAACTATTGGACTGAAATCTTTATTTCAAAATCAGTTTGTGTGGCAGATGAAATGTTCCATCAACTTTCAGGATTACTCATGTTTAATTCTCCATCCCGTTTGGTTGAATAACGCTGACTGTCGCACAGGCTAAGATCAGATAGATATTGAAATTGGAATATGTGGGATGCACGCATGAATCAAATTTGATGCCATGTGGGCTTCAATATGAAGGAAAACTACGTTAACTAGCAGCAGAGTATATGCTATTAGTAGAAACCAGCGAAGGCTAGAGGCATGACACAACGCAGGAAGCAGAGGGGCATTTTGAGATCGTTATAAAACGAGTTCAGGCATCTGTGAATAGGCTAGAATTTAAGGCAATTTCGTACTTACGAGGCCGAGCATAGAGCTGGTATTACTTTCACTTTGGTGAGTCCAATTCTCGCTCTTGTAATCTTTATACTTCCCAGGAGTAGTTTAAATTATTATTTTTTAAAAAGGCATCGTTATAACAGTACCCGAGTACTGGTCCTCTCTCACATGTTCCTCACCTGGTTTTAACCCCAATTAGTTGCATCACGGATTAATAAATAAAGAGATGAATACTAATAATCATTCCATTACGATCTCATGTTATCTATTTGGTCATTGTTAAAAACCATTCATCATCCACATATCCAACCGTCATTGATTTTAAGTCGGATTCTCAGGCAAGAAAGCAGATGGCGCCATATGAACTTAAATACATTCGCAACGCATTATTATTAATTTATGATGAGGTACATGATACAACATACTTAAAAAGACTTATTACATGTGTGATTATGCTTCCACTAGCACTTAAAGAGGCTAGCGTGACTTTATTATTCACATAAAAGGCCACGCTTCAAGACACAGCAAGGATAAACTAGAAACAACTACTAACACAAGTATTTAACCAAACATTTTACATGTGTATATTTAAAAGGATTTATTCTTTCAGCCACAGCTTTAATTCCTAGTGGTGTCCAGGGCCATGATGGCCTGGAAGCTTCTCCTTAATCTTCTCCATAATTCCCTTCTTCTCATGAGTGCCTTCCATACCATAACCAGTAGTGGTAGTTGTTGCAGTTGAATGTGCTAGGTCGTCTCTGTGACCTCCTGGCAATTTCTCCTTAACCTTGTCCTTTATCCCTTTCTTCTTCCTTCTACCGCCGTGTCCATCATCCTCGGACTTCAAAAGCAAAACACACACGTTAAACATTATTAAGAGTGAGCGACATACAGATTAAGAAGAGGTTAGTCGAAACAAAAGATAATTAACTTACAGAGCTGCTGGAACTAGAGCTGCCAGAACGGTGAAGCATGCCACCGAGAGTACCATGCTGGCGTTGTTCCCCACCAAGTACGCCGGTGGTGTGTCCAGCCTGAGTTCCATAGCCGGTACCGGTGGTTCCATATTCTCCCATGGTTCCACCAGTCTGCTGGATTGGGTTGCCATACTCGTCAGTTTGGCGGACTGGGTTGCCGTATTCGTCCGTCTGCAGAGCCTGCCCTGCACTATATTGGTTCTCGTAGTGCGCCATGATTATGTTTTTTTTTCTACACAATTGTATCTAATTCTGTTGAGAGTATTCGATAAAGTGTAAATATTATAAAATTCGAGTGCCAAAACGGGATAGATATAGGGATGGAAAAACAAAATAAAGATAAGGGTGTGGAAGAAGTGGAGGTGCATGCATGGCACCAGAGCATCACAGGTGTTGCGTGAATTAAACAGTCGGCATGAATGTGGCAACATCACAGACTGACACGTTTTTTCCTCTGTCGGCGTTGAGATAAGATTCGGCATTTTCGGTCAAATTCTGCTGCTGGAAGCTAAGAGACTTGCATATAATTTCGAAGTTACTCGATCGGAAACTGCGGTGTAAAATCATGTCATATATGTTTCTCAGTCGGGCGGATTTAAACAAAAATAAAAGGTGAAAATACCAAAAGGATGAATGGCCTAGTGGTTAGGTGCTCCAGATTCGCCTAATAAGAGATCGCCCGGAAAAAAAATCATGTGTTCGCCACTGATTGTGATCAGTGGAGCATCTTATTTGCTATCATTAAGACCTGACTTACCAAATAAATTTCAGCAAATCTTAGCAAATTAAAATCATTGGCGCAAAGAATTAGTAAAACTTATGGTATCACGTCTAACTTATAAGAATTTAAATTTTGGAAAAGGCCATGCTGGCCAATAAACAGGTTGATGGAAGCTAACTAATAGTCATAGGGTGACATATGCTTATTTATCAAGTTCATAAGAAGCTTATTAAGAACTGTTAGTTTCAATTTTTAATTACAAATATGAGAAGCTCAGGTCCACTAGGTTCTAGTTCTAGGAGAGGTAGAAATGCTCTCTCGAGTGAGAATAGGCCTATGGACGAAAATGTTAGGAATGTGAGTCTTGCATTTACAGGGCCTAAATGAGATCAACGATCTTCAAAGAGTTAATTAGGCTTGCTGGACTTGGGCTTTAAATACTCTTGAAATTTTGGGTCCCGTGATAATACCAAATGGGGCTTTTTTATTGTAGTTTGGCCAAGTCTATCAATGACAAAATTGCCTTCTCCATTCTTCAGCTGATGGGGCCTAATTTGAAATTTCACATAGTGAAGTATGAAACTCCATGGTAATGAATATTTTTTTTTATAATTATAGGACTGAAAAATAACTGTCCCGTACTGTTACCACCAAAATAATTATCTTCCTTAAAGTTGATCTTTTTAAGGATTAGGGGTTAAAAATCCTTCCACCTTTTGATGCATATGAACATATTCTCAATCTGTCTACTTTTAATTTTAATTGTTCGCATTTTTATTCAAATAAATGTATAATTTTACTTGCCTGATTTCACAAATTAAGAGATGATTTGTCCTTATTATTATTATCTATAATCATTTTTCAAAACATTGAATTGGTTATATTGATAGAGTAATATAATAGAATTTTCATTCTATTTATTGTTTTTAAACATGTGTGCTAAATTAATACTAAACAAATAAAAATAAAAATTACAGATTAGGAAAGTAAGACGGTCATGGACAGATCCGGCTCCTCTTCATTTCCCTTCTCTCCATTTTTCCCAAGTTCTTGCTTGGATATGAGACACATGGCATAAGTAAAAATTAATGGTTAAGATTTATTGTAATTGAATTAAAATAAGATTTTAATTATGATTTAGATAATTAATATTTCATAAGAAAAATAACAATACCACAATCATAACAATATATTATCTTTTCCATAAATATATTATTAAAAAAAAATCTCTTTTTCTAATTTTTTTTCTTACCAGTATTATCTTCTATTTTTGTCCATACATATATTACAAAATAATTTCTCTTTTTCTAAAAAAAATTCCATCCGAGTATTTTTGCTATTAATTATATGTGATAAACTAATTTTAAAGAGAAAGTTCAAAGTTGCTATCTAAGACTTAAACTCATTTTTTTTAAAAAAAAAAATTAGAAAAGAGAAAAGTTTTTTAATAATATATTTATGGATAAGATATTATAGTGTTATATGACTTATGAATTATGATTATGGTATTGTTATTTTTTTTTATGAAATATTAATTATCTAAATCATAATTAGAATCTTAACCATTAATTTTTAATTATACCATGTGCCTCACATCCAAGCAAGAATTTGAGAAAAATGGAGAGAAAAAAAATAGAGAGGAGCCGGATCCGTCATGGACCATGTCCAATAATAAGGATTGGTAGCCCAAGGTCTAAATAAACAGAGACTCGGGAGGAACAATTTTAGAAATTATTTGCTATAGCAGGCAAAATGCTCTACTTATTTGATTTGTATGTGATGATAAAGAAATCATTTTCTCTACCGTATTTTCAACTCTCTTAATTAATTAAAGCATGAAACTTGAACTGAAAAGAAATGTATATATATATATAACACAACTTAAACTCAAACTATATTATCATTATTAAACACGTACGGGACATCACAACACACATTAACATGATGCATATGGACATCGATCATTGCTTTCCAAGCATATGGAAGCAATATTCTTCTTTAAAAATACAGAAGGGGCAGGGCATGGCCGCCAATACACACATATATATAGCGTGAGCACACTGCCCTTACACGACTTTAAACACACAACGTACGTAATTAGATAATTACTCACATGACGATTACTAGTAATTAGTGCATGAAATAAAATCAAGCACTAATTTTTAGACCGTACTTATTGATAAGATAAGATGGAAATGAAAACAAAGGTGTGTGTATTCTCAATGCATCCCAGGGATCTTGTCCTTGATTTTGTCCATCATTCCTTTCTTCTCTCCAGCTCCTTCACCTGTTGTTTGTCCTTCCTGCTGGCCATGTCCTCCTCCTGGCATCTTCTGCATTATCTTCTCCTTCATCCCCTTCTTTCTCCTCCCACCTTCTCCATCATCCTCCGACTGATCATAATTTTATGCCATAATTAGAATGTCATGAAATATGTTTAATTTCATATACTATAAGTTTTACGACTACTTGTAATATGATCACTCGTTTATGTGTTCAATCAAATACTGGAAAAATTAACGAAACTTACCGAGCTAGAGCTGTCGGATCGACGAAGCTGCTGTTGCCCCTCATGGTGATGGGTACCAGTACCCATACCCATACCGGTACCGCTACCTTGAGTGCCACCCATACCGCCAGTACCCATGCCCCCCATCATACCACCAGTACCAGCCTGCATGCCTCCCATACCGGTACCTTGATGAGTTCCAGTTTCTTGGACATGGTTTCCATATTCATCAGTCTTGCGCATTTGGTCTTGGTTGCCGTATTGTGCCATCTTTGATCAAAATTAAAAAACACTTGTTTGAGTTTTTACTTGCTTTTTGGCTATTGCAGACACTTAAGTATGGTTTTTGTGATGGAATTGAGGTTCAGGGAGTAGGGATTTATATAGGGAAAGTAAAAAGTAGTAAAGGCTAATTGGAGGCACAACAGGTGTTAAGCGAGTAATGGAGTTGAGTATTTAGCGGGATCGTGGCAGCAGAAAGTTGGAGACAAGTGTGAGAGTGTCGGCATAAATAAAGAATGGATAAGGAGATATTTAACTAAAACCCAAACATTGAAACTTACGGAACTGGAAAGGGACATTTAAGAGCATAGACTGGAAGCCAAGTGTAGTCATAAAGATTTTATAACTGAAGAAAGTATAATAAATAATTAGGAGGACACTTCGCAAATTAGGCACTACATCCAAGGAAGGAAAAATCGGGAAGATTCATTTTTGTACGTACCGACATTTCAAGACTCTGCGCAGTCTATAATAGCCGTAAACGTGGCATAGTAAGAGAGGCAGCAAAACTATGACTCATAATTCCAGTAATGTATAAGGATAACCTTCATTTTCCTTTAAGAATGTACAGTTTTTGGATGATTTGCTGGATAAAATATGTAAGCCCGGCCCATGAATGTTGTCACATACTAACAAATATGATTTCATCTTCCTTTGTGTCATTTGTTTTGTGTGATTTAATTCATTTTTTTTATTACATTAGTGGAAAGGAAGAGGAGAGTCGGTATTGAATCCATGTATACCATATACAAAGTTTATGATAATGTGACAAAATTTAAACTATCAATATATAAAATTTAATTAACTTGTTGTAACAATATATTATTATTTTCTCCAAGTCTCAAATATACATATTTTCTAGAGTAATATATATTGTCCGTATATTTAACTTAGGCGAAATGGTATAATTGACCCCTGTACTTGTATGAGTTTGTATTGTGAACCCTTCTATTTAACTATTTATCAATTAAACTCTTAAACTCAATAAAACACAATTTATCAAACCCCTCTGACCATTGACTAGGCTTATGTGGCATTAATATGGTTGAGTTGGCAAAAGTGCGTGAATTCACTCTCGTTAAGGCGAGTGATATCCTATTTAAGTTAAAAAAATATTATTATTTTTTTAAAAAAAAAAACAATAAAAAAAAAACCTTAAAAAAAAAAAACTAAAAAAGGCTTTCTTCTTCCGCCAACCGATTCACCTCCATTTTTTGCTTTATCAATTGAACCCTTAAACTTAATAAAACACAATTTATCAAACCCCTCTGACCATTGACTAGGCTTATGTGGCATCAATATGGTTGAGTTGGCAAAAGTGCGTGAATTCACTCTCGTTAAGGCGAGTGATATCCTATTTAAGTTAAAAAAATATTATTATTTTTTTAAAAAAAAAAACAATAAAAAAAAAACCTTAAAAAAAAAAAACTAAAAAAGGCTTTCTTCTTCCGCCAACCGATTCACCTCCATTTTTTGCCATCTCCATCCCTGTCCAATCCATTTTTCTTTCTTCTTCACACTCTTGTCATCTTCTTTAGCAGATCTTCACATTGGCACCTAGAGAGAGACGACATAGGTCAGTGGAAGAAGAATGAGGCGGGTGAGAGTGGGATCTGGTCACGATAGCGAAGAGGTTTTCCGGTCAGATTTGGTGGCCATGGTGCGACGGAGATGAAGACGAATGAGGAAGAGAGCATGTATGGTCGCCGGCAAGAGTTGCGACGACGACGAGGAGCCTCCTAGAATGTTTGTACGCCGGAGGCAGTAAGGAGTTTCTTGGCCTTCTGATACGCCGAAGAGGATGGAGAGCATATCGGTCGGTGATGGTGAGGGGCGAGGAGCTATTGCGGCGGCTTAGGATTTCTGGATTTCTGGATTTGTGGAGGTTAGAGAAGGAGGAAAGAAAATGGTGAGGGTGTGCGATGAAGATAGAGGTTGGTGGGGGAGATCGTATTTATGGTCTTGCCGGCAAGAGGAGCGGCAACAGCAGCGACTTTTTTCGGCAGTTGGGCCATTTCACGGTGAAAATGGAAGATGATGTGAGGAGACCCAAACTTTTAATTTAAAATAATAAATTAAAATTTAATTTGTCAAAATTGCATCAAATTTTTATGATTTTTCTTTTGTCAAAAAAGAAATTATTATAAAATAAAAATGATGTGGCAAATTTTATCTGACATGGCGTGTGACATCAGCGCGATTGAGAGTCACGGTGAGTTGAAAGGGTTCAATAGGTTGAATTTAGATGGGTTCAGGGGTCCAGATGACAAAGAGGTAAGTAGAAAGATTCACAATACAAACGCATATAAGTACAAGGGTCCACCAAAATATTTTGCCTTTAACTTAAACTCTCATTCTTTATTTGTGCCATTTTGGGCTTGACAGTATTTCTTATTGGATGACCCAACATTTACTCCAGTATCACTAATACACTATCTAGGGAAATGGGTCTCCGGCCCAATGAACTTTTAAGAACAGAGAAAAACCCAATGAATTGGACATTTTCACTAGGTAATTAGGGAATAAGGGCTAAGCACAATAGATGCCATACATTTAACATTTGAGTGGAAAAGGAAAGCAAGACATAATAACCTTTTTTTCGAGGCCTGTTTGGACGTACAGTTCCCGCAAGCCTTAATTAATTCCACCAAATTTTCCTCCTTGTCTTGGCAGTTGGCACTAACTAACCTTTGCTTATTTTCACCATAAAAAGATGTCCTATTCAGAGAGGGAAACCAGCCACAAATACCATATATGGGTCTGATAGAAGAACTTACTAGAGTAAATTCACCATGAGAAGGACCTCCATGCATATAATAAAAGATACAATTACCAGTAATGGGACGAATACCTATATTTATTTGTGAAAGATGATTGCGGTTCAGTTCTTAGAGATTTTGATGAAACATGTTTCTATATATCATAATATATGCTCTTAGACGATCCCATACAAATTCATCGTCATTTTTTTTTGCATTTCTCATTCACGTGAGCTATCCTGCTGTGTAGAAAATGTCTAGCCTTTGTCATTGTTTATTAGTATAATATTTTTTTTTGGTCTTGAAGAGGGTTTATTTTTAGTATATCAGTTTAAACAATTTTATCAAGCCCAACATCTAAAACTAATTTTCAAATAACTCAAACGTACTATTTGACATTTATGTCCAGTAAAAGCATGTGGTATATATGGCTGTCCACATGATCTAATACTAGTGTGTTCATGACTTATACTAGTAAATATCATGGTCTAACCTAACATGCAATCAGATTTTAAAGGAATAAAGTAGTTTACCCTAATTTTTATGCAGATTATGCTCCAAGATATGCTTGTATTGCTGATCACATGCTTATAATTGTAAAAAAAAAGAAGTGAGACAGCAATACCTAATTAATTAAACCAAATCAAAGTACCAGAATCACTTAAGTACGGACTAACTGGATGTTATGACTTTTGATTTGGGAGGCCATTAGTCTCCATCGACAGGCTGTACACGTTACATGCCACTTCTCTTACAAATTAATTAATTAATTATCTAGTTAATTAAATGAACGGCCCTTAATTGGTCTGAATTTTGAAATCGGTGCTCTTATACTTTATTCTGGAAAAAGACTAGCTCACGTCACCGACAGATATGGATCTTTAGTTAATTTTGATTAGGAATCACTAATTATACTTTGAGGGGTGTAAGACAATCAGATTAAGAATAAAGAAATGGAAAAAAAAAAACTTGACATGTACAATTGCTTAATTATACTCTTGAGAAAATTCTAGTGGACTACCATCTGCATTGTTTCTTTTGTCAGTATTATTATTCCGCAAAAAACGACTATCCTAATTTGTTTAAGTGTTAATTTGTTTGTTTAAAGTTTAAAATAAAATTAAAGAAGGTACTCGTGATTGCTTACATATGCATAACAATCACATGGAAATTGGTGTGAGCAACTAATTAATTTGGGAAAGAAATGAACGGTTAATGATTTGTTGATAGAAGAGTCTACTTGCAAATTAATAATCAAATGCTAGTATTATAATTCACCTAATTATAACAAGTTTCTTTCTCCATGGTGAACTTAATTATGGAAATCCCCTTTTCAATGTAAAGCATTACGGTTAATCCTCCTTATGTGATTATGGTATGCCAATCAGAAAGAACACACGGCTCAAGGAAAGTGTTGCAACAGAAGAAAATCAATACTATCAAGTAACTTTGTTCGTTAAAAATTGTATAAGTTGAATTAAATTACAATATTCCTTCAAAATTTACAAAAATAAATGAAGTTAAAGTTCAACAAAAATCTTGAACCTACTCGAGAACATCGTGCAAATATTTAAGGGTGAATCAGAAAAGTAAATAGTTATGAAAATCTAATTATATTTACTTTTTGAAGGCGTAAAACATGTATTTACAATAACTTAGATATCACTTATTAATCTCTATTAAAATACAACTATTGAAGTAGACAAAACCTTCTTCTCCTATTTTTCAGTAGACAAAACCTTCTTGAACGTGTGTTTCCAATAGCCCTTTATTTAAATTAAAAAAAAATATTTTAAGTAAAATAAATATGTTTGAAGTGCTTAGATGTAGGGCTACCCTTTACAAGAACTCAAGAAACTTTTTTAATTGTACAAATTAGGTCAGATGTATGTCTGTGGTGCTTTCATTACCCATTAAACTCACTTTTTAGTTAAAATCTCTCAATGAAATTAGATTAATGAAGTTTTATACATTGTATAGTCAATTTTGTTAGTAGCTGAAATGTTTAAATCTACAAATGAGGAACAATTTGGTTTCTCTTTTTCATTTCAATCACTTACTACTTTTTAGACCAAATTTAATAAATTCAATATGAAGGAACTAAAGTATGCAAACAGCATGACATCCTTTTTAAGTTTTAATTAATAATCTGATCCAGAATTTGCAAATTGTTTGAACACAATGCATTTATCCAATCACAGAGAAAGCGCCAAAACGAGAAAAAATAGAAAAATATGATTATGCTATAGTGACGCAGATTTAAGTAATTTTCTAGACAATTATTAGGCATAGTTAGGTTTAGTTTGTTGTATTATCTTAATCATATTCATATATTGTATTTTTCTTCCCCAATAATTCAAGCCTGATATATATTTCCATTTATAGATATTTTATTTTCCAGCACGTCCGGCCTAACCTTTATTAGATTAGATAAATGATAACAAACCTCCACCAGAAAATTCATCTATAATATATATTTTCCATTTATCAAAGTCTAAAGATCGGTTGAGCAAAAATTAACAAGTGATTATATTATATGTTAAATAAACTTATGTCACTACTTTGCCATAAAGTGGAACTAAAATTGATCTTAAAGCACCCACTAGAAAATATAATTAAAGGAAAAAAATATTGCTAATATACTCTACAAGCCGAAAAGTTGAAAAAAGAAGAAGTTATCACGCACTTATGAGAATTTGTGTTTGGTTCTCATGGTCCTTTCACTATTTCCTCACTAAAAGTAATTAAACAAAAAAATAAAAAGAGAGATTAACTTAAAACAAAGAGCATAGAAGTGTGTTACACACAAGCCAACGATGGAATTATCTTTAATAAAATAAAATAACAAGAGAGACTAGCCTCTTCATAATTAATCTCTACCAATAATTAAACTTTAATAATTAATCTAGTAATATTGGATGGTTGTTACCTATTCTACTGTTACTTTAAATACACATTTGTTAAACTGTTAGTGAAATTTTACTTTATAGTATCAATGAATTTTGTTTTTTCGATTCTGATTATTATCTTTTTATTTTGTGTTTTGACTATTATATTATTTTGTTTCATTATTATTTTTTCTTCATTATATTGTGTACAACCCTATATTTTGTATTATTTTGTTGTTATTATTACTTTCATTTATGTATTTCTCTTTTCAAACTGCTTTGATATATTTTATCTTATTCAAAGGTCTATCAGAAAAACCTCTCTATCTTACCATCTCCAAATTTCATTAGAATTACTGATTATGTTATTGTATTTTGTACTTCACCTTTTTTTAAAATAATAATTCTATCTCATACCATATTTTTTTCCCTTTTAATATTACATATTTATACTTCAAATTGTGAATATATAAAATTAGGTAACAATGAAAAAAATTGATACAATTTATCCAAATGTCATATTTATGGAAAATATAAGCTACAATACAATAGAGTAACAGCCCAAGCTCTTACAAATCGAGAAGGCGTCATCAACTATTTTATCAAATCCAATTATTTATTAGTGAACCTAACCAAACACCTTCATCTAAAGCCAATCCAAGAATCCCAACAACAACATTGTCTTTTTAGAAAAAATCGACTTTTCAATGACCAAAATGATACTAAATCAGTACATGAAAGCATCAGCAGAAGCCATAATCGGCTGATTCACATGTAGCAAATTCCAAGGATTCAAGAAATCATCTTCACAATTAATCTCTGTTTCATCAATTGTTGAGTTTGCTGAGTTGATGCAGTTTATGATCTCATTTAAAGACTGTAGCCTATTACTCAACTCTGCCATTTGTGCTCTGAGAACAGAGTTCTCTGCTTCCACATTCAAATAAACCTGACTCACCATATTTATGTTGCTCACAATTTGATTATTTTGTTCCTTCAGTTGATTCACTTGAGCCATTAATTCATTCAAATGTGTCTGCTTCTTCATTCTTGATCTTCTTGCTGATTCCCTGTTCGATATCATTCTTTTACGTTTCCTTTGATCCATTAGTTGTTGCAGATCCTCTGACCCTGACGAAGAATTTCCACTAGGAGAAGCCATAATACTTGTAAATTTTAACGCGTTATAACTAAATAAATATCAGTAATAATAACTAAATTAGAATCAAGAAGTTTAACTTTTGTTAGCGAGGAGTATTTTCATGAGAACACGTAGAACCAGTAGAGGAAGACAACAGAGAAGGATTGGACTAAGTGAGTTCCACGACGAAGCGTTGAGTTAATTGTAAAACCAGAAAGAAGAACTTCACTGATTACTGGAGTCATGAATCTTAAAGTACATCAAAAATCAAGGCTCTGTAGTTATGCATCAAAATATATAAGTGAAATAGGAAGAGAAAGATAAATATTTTTGAATTTTCTAAAAACAGAGATAGAAATATTACAAGAGCAGAGAGTTTTTTTTCCTAACATATATTGAGGAAGAAGAGGAGGAGGAAGGGGCTTTTGATAGTAATGAAGATTCATTTTATAGACTATGTTGATGGTCATTGAAATAAAGTAATGCGACCATCAATCAAATATAAAATTTAGTTTGTTTAGAAACAAGTTATCCCATGATTAATTAATATGGAATAAGTTATATAATCAATCACTATAATATAACTTGTAGAATAAATAATTCAATAACTGTCTAATAGTTCCAACCAAATACAAGATAAAATAATTCTATATTTTATCCCAAAATTATTATACATTATGCCTCACGCCAAACAACTAAACTTATTACGTAAAGCGTTGAAAAAGAGTGGCTTCCTATTGGTTAATCTTTTATTTTATTAAGGTAGGTATGAGAGAAACTTGAATACATACATATTACATAACCACTTGGTTTTACTATTTGGAAGATTCTATTGCACATGGGGTTAAGTGTGTAATGTACAAAATATTTTACTATGTACTAAACATATTTTATTATGCACTCGAGTTCTCTTGTTTAACACTTCAGAATTTACCTCACGTACCATTTCAAAAAGTTGAGCTTAAAATATATATGTAGATGAATTAAGTACATTAAAGAGAATTAAGGTCACCGACAAATTTTCGTTGCCGTACGATAATATCAGACCCCTTAAGAATGGCGAAGAGGTACTCTTTATATATGTCAAGATTCAACACGCATGCATCTGCATCTCAAAAACCCACCGACTTCTTCATTTTCTAGTGTTTATTTAGTCAGAGACAGTGTTGGCCAAGGCACTCGACAAATACGACCTGCAACTAAATAAAGTATGTACTATGTAATAACATGTCTTAGTTTTATATTCGAATTGGTTATGTTCAAGTGTTCCACCATTGTTCAAGAATGAAATTATCTTTGAACTATAGTTTTTGAGTTGAGTTAGTTTCAAAATTTATTTTGTTACTAGTCCTAGTCTTAGTGCACGGTCTTGGGCATGTAATATCACTTGTTAGGATCAAATGCTTACTATCATGCCAAAATTTGTAGTTGATAGTAAATGTGCAACTTTATTTCTTAACTAAATCCAATAAGCAAGCATAATGTTCGATTATGACTCCGCCCGAGCCACCCAACCCGGACCTTGCCATAGACAGGATGTTGAGATTACCCAAAATGTTCAACATTGGTTTAGACTTGAGATCTAGAATAAGTTATCCTTGTTAACAATTCACTCTCTAGTCTCTAGCATTTGACTATAATAATTTAAATTGCTCGTCAGGAATTAGGTGCTCTTGTGTCTTAACAGAATGCACTGATTCATTGGAGTAGATATTTGTATCATAATATTCAGAACCTGAATGAACCTAAACTTTTGACAATTTCTTGGCAGCCTTATTTGAATAGTTTCTTTGTAGCCAATTATAAACTAAAATAGTATATGACTTAACTATTTTGGAGATTGGAGATTCATATAAGAGGCATAATATACTGCCCTATATAGCATAGAAATTGAACTTTAAGTGGAAGAAAAGTGTTCAACTAGTGCACCACCATAAAACAATAAAGGTTTGGTGACCTATCATTTTCTTCCCTTCTGTTTTCCTTTGTGTACATATCTTATTTTTAATTTGTGTCAGTCTCCACAACTAAAGTATCACAATAAGCATATTCGTTAATCAAGGTGTTCGATCGTCTAATTAATTGATTAATATAATCCTTTCTTTACTTACTCAATTAAACACGCTTAGAGCTAGCTATTTCTACATGTATAGTTTCTCTCATGTCCATTCATTATAAAGATTAACTAAAGACTTTTTAGTACTTGAGTTACTTTTTTATGACGTTACCAGCTAGTCAACAACTTGAAATTACTTAATTTTACATATTTCCACTATAAGCATATAACGTGATATTGACTATTTGGATTGTAAATATTTATCTTCCTTTATTTGGTATGTAAATCATTTGTTACATCAAAGTACAAGACAAGAAAGAAGATGCAAAAATACTGCTTTACTATTTTAACTGTTGGTTGAAATGAAATTTCACCCTAATTACCAATAAAATTAGGTAAGGAGCAAAAAGAAAAGAAAAAACAGAACGCCGCTGCCGGGGATCGAACCCGGGTCACCCGCGTGACAGGCGGGAATACTTACCACTATACTACAACGACTTGGTTGAAATGCTAATGTAGCTGAACATATTTATTTAGTTTTGCAGACTTTTCGAGTGCACAATTCAGCACTAATCACCACCTACTCTACTGGTGTAAGTTGGACCTTTCAAATAATTGTCACATATTTCCTGCTTACTCTTGTTTTTCGGAAACCAACTTTCTACCTCCACAAGGTAATTATAAGGTTTGCATATATTGTACCCCACGTATGGAATATGTTATTGTTGTTGTTCCAGGTTACTCTGCAAGTGGGCCACAGGTGACTAGTCTTTATTGTAGAAGATTTGTCAAACTCTATTTGCATATGGCCCAGAGAGGCTAACTGGTCTGCCTATGTCAGCCCAATTAATATATTTGGTTAACAAAACTTGTATCAACCTTAAAGGAAAGTCTTGGGCTATTTTTTCAGTTTTTTTTTAGGACAAATTACTTAACTACACTCCTTTACTTACCTTAATATCCATTTATCCCCTACTTATTTCAAAATTTTCAAAAATCCCTTATTTTACCTATGTATCCCGCATGTATCTCGTGCACAACGCTATGTATCCCGCATGCATTCCGTGCACAACGCTATGTATCCCGCTATGTGGAATGTGTCAAACCTAATGTATCCCATGTCACAACGCTATGTATCCCGTGCACAACGCTATGTATCCCGCAAACATCATTTTTAAGGGATTTTTGGTAAATAGAAAACTAGAAGGGATAGGATGTTATTTAGTACTTATAATATGTGGTTCCTATAATTTATACTTTTTTTAAGGAAAATTTTCAAAATGTCAATATTTTGACATTTAATAGGACTCCTTAGTCACACTTTCAATATTTATTTAAAATGTCAATATTTTAGTTTGTTATGTATCTGATTTATGTATTTTATATTTGTTTGATTTGCAAGAATACAATTATTTAATATCAGGAGAAAATCAGGGGAGATAATATTTTTTTTAAAAGAACATATCACTTAAAATTCTCATCAGTTACAATTTCAAAGAAATCTCTTTTTTCATTCGATTGGATCAACTTTCTTTTTTATTATATTTTCATCGTAATTGTATACCAATAATTTTTACATTTTATGTGCTCACTTTACCATTCAAATTAAAATTGGTATTTTACTTTCATAGTGAAAACTACAAATTGTATCCCACCGATCAAAATTGTATTACATGACTGTTAAATATATTTTTCTTTTATTTGTATTACAAAAATTTTACTGATTGTATCCCAATATAATCTAATCATTACATATAAATATAATTTATGAAAGGATACAAGATTCTGGAAAAAAATAGCATACATGGTAGAAATAATACAATATGTCGAGGAAGGATACAATATTCTAAAAAAAATTTACAAATTGACTATGAAAGAAATAGGGATACAAGATTCTGGAAAACAAATAACATACATAGTGAAAATAATACAATCTTTGAGGAAATATACAATATTCTAAAAAAAATAAAAATACAAAGTGACTTTTAAAAAAATAGGATACATCTATGCTTAAGAAATACAAATCCATTTGACATACCTATTTGAATGACTACAAACTAAAAAAGAAATACAATGTTTTAAATAAAAATACAAATGATGAGTAAAAGTAAAACAATTGACAAACAAAATTAATATGAATACAATTCTGGTATGAATACAATTCTGCAACCTTCTTCTCTGACTCTCTCTTTCTTCTTCTTCATCTGCTATGTTCTTTTTTCTTATTTATTTTATCAAATCCAAATCTGAATCTGTATTCACTTGTGCATTAGTAACCCTACAAGCAAAATTCGAAATTATTAAATATGAATTTATAAAAAAATCAAACAATATATGATGTATGGATGCTAATGTAGATTACTACAATCTACTAAATCTCAAATATGAAAATAAAATCACAAAAAAATCTAACAGTAGTGTTTAAAAGACGAAAAATTTGAAATACATAAAAGAGGGAATCTCAAAAAATAATTGGGGAATCTCAAAAAAAAACTCACAAAAAACGAACAATAATGTTTAAAAATCGGAAAATTCGAAATACAAAATACTTGGTGATTATGAATACTAAATTACAAGAAATCTCACAAAATACTTGTTGACTTCGAATTTACATTTATTAATGGGTGAAAATCTTTTGAATCAATTGTGAGATTTCTTAAAGAAAGTGTAAGAAATTAGAAGAGTTGATTTTCTTGAACAAGGAAAGGAGAAAACAATGGTGAAAAGGGGAAGAGAGAGAAAGGAACAATTTGGGGTAAAACCTAAAACGGGGGTAAATGGGTAATGGGGGTATGTTTTTAATATTTTTTTACTGTACATGGAGTAAAAAAAAGGTACAATGTGGCCTAATTTGAGAAATAAAAGGAAAGAATTTTAATTATATTAGGATACAATTTATTTTATAAAATATTGGCATATTGACATTTTTAATAATTATTTTAAAGTGTAGATGTTTTTTATAATTATGTTAGGGATGTGAAAATTTCATATATGACATATATTATATTAATATTTTCAAGTTATAGCAATAGATTTAAACTTTCAAGTTGTAACATTAAAAATTTCAAGTTCGAACAATTTATTAAAAAAGAAGAAGTTGTTTTTAATAATTGAAAACATTTGTTTTTTTAAAAAAAAGAAGATAAAAAAAACATTTTTGAAGGCAAAAAGGTAAAAAACAGAAATAGGGGTGTTAATTTATTTTGAATTGAGTGTAGATAATTACAAATTAGCACGAATTAAGGAATTCAAATTATTAAGAATATTTAGTTTCCTTAATTCACTCAAATTAGTTAAACTTAATTAAACATTCTTATTTTATCCTTTTCTTTTGTTCAACGTTTCTCTCTCTTCAATTTTCTGCCAAAAATCTCTTCACTGTTGAGTAATTGAAGTTTTTTTTCTTTGAAAAATCTTGATTTTGTTGTGATGGACAACTAAGTATCAATATTAATTAAATATGGTGGAAGATGGGATCCTTCAGGTTAATAGTTATTATTGTTTAGTGATTGGTCAAAATTCGTTTTTGTTAATTTTTGTTCATAATACGTTTTTGTTAATTTTGTTCATAATTCGTTTTGGTAAGTTTCTTTTTTTTTTGTTGTTTGATTAATTTGTATGCTGTCAAAATCATGATTTCGTGAGAAATAGGCGCAATATATGAAAGATTTGAGTATAAATGTATAAAATATAAATAGTTCTATCGTTATAGATTAAGTAGGTATAGTAAAATTGTAATATTGATTACTGTTTTCTTTTTTCAAAAATATAAATTCAATGTAAAGTTGATGAATGAATTTGGTAGCATAAATGTAATGAAATTGGTATGAAAGTGTGTTCACTACTGTAAAAAAGTTATTTAAATTTTTGAAGAAATGTATGAAAAGTGTTTTAATTCGGTATGAAATTTGAAATTTTATTGATTATATATATTTTGTCATTTGTGTATAAATTTATGTGAGAGTAATGAATTATTTGGTATGAGAAATGTATAAAATTGGTATGAATGATGATTGTTGTATGAAATGTGTATTAAGTGAGTATGAAATGTGAAATATTATTTTTTGTATAAAATTTATTTTGTAGTGTACTGTCTAAATGATATTTGTATGAAAAAATAATGACGAGTGTGTATAATTTTGTTGTTATTATAATCAATTTATGATGGAACAGGAAAATATGCAATTCAAAAGGTGTCGGAGCATAAATTGATACAAAAAAAATATTGTTTCAGTGCGTATTATCATATTATATATAGTTTTATAAAAAAATTTGTACTTTTGTATCCTATAATCCTAACACAATAATTTATGATGGAACAGGAAAATATGCTATTCAAAAAGCGTCGGAACATAAATTATTGTCGTCTGGTTCAAAAAGAATTGTAGGGAGACCACAACATGAACGTTGGAAAGGATTTGCTGATGTGAAATGCAAGAGATCCAAGGTTACGTGCAGTACATGTCGTCGGGAGGGACACAACAAGAAGACATGTTCAAATTACCTTGCTAGGAAAAAAAGACATATTTATTTTTATTTTGTTTTGGTTGTTTTAATGAGACAAACTCATGTTTTGATTTATTTTGTCTTTTAAGTTAATGAATTATAATTTCAGAACATTTATTATGTGTACTAGTTAATCATTTGTGTATTAAGTGTTTTTGAAATGTATAGTAAAAAAACTAGAGAATGATGGTATGCAATTGATATCAACTGAAAATTCAAATCTTAGTATGAAATTGATATACATTTGGTATCCAACTGATGTCCCAACGATAAAATTGAAAAAAAAACTTGTAATTGAGATTTCAACTGAAATAACCAACCTAAAACTAGTTAATGTTGTATCTAATTTGTATACATTTGGTATCGAATTGATATCCCATTGGAAAATTTGAAAAAAGGGCATGTAATTGAGATTTCAACCGAATTAGACAACCTAAAACTAGTTAATTTTATACCCAATTGGTATGCATTTGATAACTAATTGATATCCAATTGAAAAAGATGAATAAAACATGTAATTGAGATTTCAACTAAATTAGTCAACCTAAAACTAGTTAATTTGTACCCAATTGGTGTACACTTGGTATCAAACTGATATCCCATTGGAAAAATTGAAAAAAACATGTAATTGAGATCTCAAATGAATTTGCCAGCCTACCAACAGTATTCATGTTTCATTCCGATACCAACTTCATTTTATAAGTAGTTATAAATTAATTATTTCACATAATTTATACAAAAATTAAATCAATTTCATATCAACATTCATACACTATATATAAAATTCAGTTCAGACCAATATTATTCATGTTTCATTCCATATTCTTGTACATAAATTTTAATAAAACAGTATACCATATTTGAAAAAAAAAATCACACCAATATTATTCAAACATCATACTAGATTTCATGTGCACTGTGGCATTTAACAAACGACACTAAAATCAACTAATTGGGCTACTGATATCAAATCAATTTCATACCAATATCAAATAACACTTCATACCAGTTGAATACCAACATTCCATCACATTTCATACAATATTCATATATCATATATTAATGTCATATTCATACAAATATTATTCAAATTTCGTACAGTTTTCACATCAATATAAGTTTCGTAACAACAATAATCATAATACAATATTTTTAACACAAAAAATACTAAATTGAATAATTCAAAAATAAATTAAATAAAATACTTATCCTAACCACTTTTTTGCCTTTTTTTGAAATTGGGATTTCTGAGTCCTCCTTCCTTGTTGTTCTTCTTGTTGATTGGTTTTGAAGACTGACCACATTTCGACATTTGTTGCTTTTTTGTTTTTTTCTTTTTAATCTCACTTGCGAAATCTGAATCCAAATCCGAAACAGAATGAGTCGCTTTTTCAATTTTCACCTTCCTCTTTTTTTTCCCTTTTGATTTGCATGACTAATTGTTTTCTTTGCTTGACTAATCTTCGACTGAGAAGAAGCATCTTTTACCGGAATTTCATTATTTGTTGGCATTGCAGCACTTATCTCTAGTTCAAGAGCAGAAACCTTGGCCAACGCCTCTTCTCGAGCTGTCTGCTACCGACAACAAAAGAGTTGATAGAGAGAACAAAAGAATAGAAAGAAAAAATCAGAATTCATATCTGACATTCTTTCCTGCACATATAGTTTTTTAAACATATGCTAATTTTAAAACAAAAACAGATCCACTTCTAGTGGGGCACAAGTAAGCATTCGCTTCTTCCAATTATCAAACATAACAAAAAATGCATACATAAAGGAAAGTATGTTATCTTATTTTTTTTCCTTCCACATCCATGGGGCTCAATCGTGAGTTATGCTGATTTTCTTTTTTAATGAAGAAGACGAACGTTGAAGATGGTGAGAGAGAAAGAATTAGTTCTATGTAAAAGAGGAACGTTGGGGTGGGGCTGTGAAAACTGGAAAAAAATATCTCTAAAATGGTGTAAGGGATAATGGCAATTGATTCTCTATTAATGTTATCCGTAAAATGGTGTAAGAGATAATGACAATTGATTATCTTATTTCTCTTACTTATTAATTGTAAGGTAATTATAAAAATAATAACTAATTAATTAAATCAAATAAATTAAATTATAGATTAAAACTAATCTGTTAATACTTATAATTAAACTGTTATAAGTAGTAATATAAAAAAAGTACATCTAAAGACCATAATATTAAGCCTTAAATAGATATGTGGGGTGAATTTTCACTACAAGAAAAGACTGTCAGTTAAGACCAACATTTAGGGGCGAGCTAGTAATCTCGTCTCTAAAGATATATGTATTAGGACGATATTATATTCCGGTCCTTATTTATATACTTTATTGCGAAGATACTAAATCCGGTCCCTAAAGAACTAATTAACTAGTCCCAAATTCTAATTGAAGGACTTAAGCGGGAAAATATACTTCCACCCAAATTAATAAATTAATTCTTAATAAGAAAAGCTTTTCTTTTCACCAAAATTTCAAGCGCCAATTTTTTTCCATAGAAACCAAAAAAGTAAAAAACTCCTCGGTTTCTGAAGAGTAAAAACATAAAAGGAAAAGTCTTTATTTTCTGGAATATGGTTGCAACTTTGCCCTAGTAATCTCTTCAAATCATCAGGATCGTCGCTTCTATAGTATTTTTCCAGCGAAACTCTGCCCCAATCTCAACAACAATGGATTTCCATAGCAGCGGTGTCTTCTTGTTGTGTATACTTAGTTGCTGCTTATATTATTAGCTGCTCGATCGGTGGAAAAATAGAGGTTTGCTTCCTCTTCTAATTTAATCGAGTTGCTTGTTTCTTTCTTAAATTGTATTGATGACATTTTTTCTTGATTTATTCAGGTTACTCTTCTTCTTCTTCCTCTTTTCTAACATTAAATAGGGTTTAAAGTTCCATAATCTGCTCAGTTTTCTTATGTACAATAAGTAAAAGATTATTGGGTCGAGCTTTCTAAAAGTTTACTCGATTTTGTGAAGTATATTAATATTTAAATACAGTGCATATGGTATTTGAAAAGGTTCATAATCTGCTCTGTTTTCGTATTTGATAGTCTGAAGATGTATTGTATCTATAAACATATATACCTTTTCCATATAACTTATTAAGCAAGAGAAATATGGGTGTGTACATATATGTCGCTTCATCATATTTAAAGACGAAGGATCGTGATGAACATAGAAAGAATTTTTTTTCTATTTGTCTTTAGAATTTAATCTTTTATTAAATCAATGGCTGACTTAGATAAAAATATTGACCTTTTTGATGTTTTTTGTGTAAATTTTCATAGAGTAGGAGTTAGGACTCGAACCATCTCGTTTCCATGGCTAACTTTCCACAATCTCGTTCTGGGAACAAAAGGTTGAGTAGGCTGCTTTTTTTTTTTTGAAGATATCACATTTGAACCTGAGACCTAATATAGGACAATGTCTAATCTTGGATATATTATTAGATATGCACATTGATCATTTGTCTGATGCATGAAGTAATGCCTATGTATAAGATGCTTGTTTGTGGTAATTGGTTAACAATATTGTTGGCCTGGCAGATTGTTTAAATAGCTTGATTATTATCAGTTACATATTAAGTTTAGTACTGAAAAGTGTTGGGTCAATTTAGAAGGATTGTATAGCTGACTTGAATTAGTTTTGGGATTAAGGTGTCGTTTATTGATCGACTAATTAAAACAGTTCAAAAGTGAGGTTATGGGGAGTAAATTTCATTCTTGTCTACTATACGTAAATACTTTTCTTTTTGTTGAACTAAAATCTCAAGCAATTAGTTGTGTTGGTTGCAGGTTCTTGTAATTGTTCTGGATTTGTTTCTTTTAGGAATAGTGTTTCCTGGCAAACGTAGATGTGCAAGTATTTTTGCAAGATGTTGATCCAAGCTAGTTTTACTAACTTGTTGAGATTGTTAATTGATAACCATTTTATTCTCGAGTTATGGTTGGCTAACTTGCGTCCTGTTTTTGTTCCTACATTGATAAGGGTATTGGCTGGTGAATTAACTACCCAATGATTTTCTTGTGGACAGTTTCTCAACTAGCTCTGTAGTTATCCCAGTTTTCTTGTCCGAAGTTTAGTTTCTTATATCCTTTACTGATAATAATCAAACTGTCTAAGCTACTGGTAAACACAACCAGTAGCTACCATTCCTTTCCAGGTTATCATCCATGCCAATTCTTGTTTCCATCCAAGATGTTGTCTATCAATACCTTGCCAATTCAATAATTTCCTTCAAGCATATGAAGTGTAAGGACATATAAAGATCATGTGGTCCATGCTTTCTCTTCCTGTGAGACACAATGGACAGTCTTGATTGTTGATGATTCCCCATTTAGTAAGTCTATCCTTAGTATATAATCTCTCCAATGCAGCCATTCTGAAAATAAATAGCCATTTAGGTGCTCCAAAATTATTACACACTAATTTCCTCCATGAAACTTTAGGAAAAGATAATGTAACTCCTTGTAAAACTTCTGAATAGTGAATTCATGCATAGATAGATACTGGTCATAATCATAGCTAATGGATTCATAGTATTTTTTGCTCTTGAAAATCTTCCTTAGCAACCAAGATGCTTTTATGAGTTAGTATATTCATTCTTAAATGTTATGATGGAAAAATTTCTTTTATTCGTACTTTACTAAACATTTTTTCAGGTTTAATTTTTAACTTGTTTGCACGTTCAAGATGAAACCATTGAAGATTGAAAATGAGATCGATTCTAATATGAAGAGTACTATAAGATATACATTTGTCGCACTTGGTGCTATTGGAAAGGGACGAGGACGAGGGCTTTAGTCTTTGGGTGAGAAAGGAAATTTACCATCTAAGAGTATATTGCCTCAATCAAGTGATCTAGTTAAGAAGTACATCAAAGAAATTGAAACAAGTAAGATATTCTGTATTCTTTTACCTCAGACCATAAGCAAAATTTTTAATTGTGTTGAAGGAAAATATTTTTTTCCAGCTTTCTGTAATCTGTATTTTATCTTGGAGGAGAAGGTGCGGAAAATGTTTTTTTCCAGCTTTCTGTTTGATGCAGAATATAGGCTTAAATATTTTTTTCCAGCTTTCTGTTTCATGTCTTGTGATTTGGAGCCTTATAATATAAGAGTATATTGCCTCAATCAAGTGATTAATTAGTCAAGAAGTACATCAAAAAAATTGAAACAAGTAAGATATTTTGTATTCTTTTACCTCAAACCATAAGCAAAATTTTTAATTGTGTTGAAGGAAAATATTTTTTCCAGCTTTCTATAATCTGTATTTTATCTTGGAGGAGAAGGTGCGGAAAATGTTTTTTTCCAGCTTTCTGTTTGATGCAGAATATAGGCTTAAATATTTTTTTCCAGCTTTCTGTTTCATGTCTTGTGATTTGGCCTCATAATATAAGAGTATATTGCCTCAATCAAGTGATTTAGTTAATAAGTACATCAAAGAAATTGAAACAAGTAAGATATTTTGTATTGTTTTACCTCAGACCATAAGCAAAAAATTTAATTGTCTTGAAGGAAAATATTGTTTTCCAGCTTTCTGTGTGATGCAGAATATAGGCATAAATAATTTTTCCAGCTTTCTGTTTCAAGTCTTGTGATACATTAGTCCACTTAAAAAGTATGATTTTTTTTTCCAGATTATATAGGGAAGGGACGAGGACAAGGACTTAAAAACTCTACCATGTCTACTAGTCAAGGAATACGAATGATGCATAAGAACTCCATGGCTTTTGAGAAAGAGAACATGCAAATTAATACTTCATCTCCTACATCTACTAATCAATTTAAGAAATACACCCAAGAAATTGAAACAAGTAAGATCTTTTCAAATATATTGTATTTTTTTGAAAATCTATTGTGTTTTCATGTTTTTGATAAACTTTTATATCACGCTTAGTGGGTCCAGGTGCTATAAAAAAGGGACTAGAGAAAAGAACTGGATCTTTGAGCTCCACTTTAGGAATTTCTGAATATGAGGTGAGATCTTTCAACAAGAGTACTGTTTTTGCTAATGTTACTCCTACTAAATGCACCAAATCGAGTTTACCATGCCTTCTAGTCACGAAATGTAAAAGATGAAAAAAATAGTTCTTGAGAAAGAGGATATGCAAACCAATGTTTCATTGCCTCCATCTGTTGATCAAGTTATGAAACACTCTAAACAACAGAAAAAGGTACGATATTTTGAATTCATATGTTATTAAGTCTTAGAAATAAGTTTGATTGCTATAGTTTTTATCAAATTATGCAACTGTAGGTTCATCTAATCCTACAAAGGTTAAAGAGTTCAAGGAAGCAACAAGTGCAAAGAAGTTGCTTCACTTGAAATTGGACAGAAGCTGAAAGTAACATTTTACAATAATCGAACGGTTGGAACAAATAACAATCTTTTTTCAAGGCATTTGGGAAAAATTGTTCGTGATCGTAACATTTGTCACTTGGGGTATCATCGTCGCATGATATTAAGCAAGAAAAGTTGAATCACGAACAACCGTTACGATCAGGTGTATATTTGTTACCTCCACATATGATGCCTCTCCATTTTCTGAAAATAATAACTCAAATCATATTTCATCTGGTTCTCATCTGGTTGTGCAGTAGAATATGTACCCATTTTGATACTGTATTCGTTAGAGTCAGTGACTTCTTATTGCTTACATACAAGGAAAGTCCCCCTTGTGATTTGGTTTGTCCAGTTTGTGCCTTATACGGAGATGCTACCTCAACTAGTTTAAACTTCTGATTTTCCTGCACATGTTGGATGATGCTTTGTGCCTGCTTAATTAGACCTTTTGGTTTCTGTTTCTTCCTGCAAACTTCCTCAGAATGCCCATATTTCCGGCAATGTTTGCACAGGACTGGTGAGCACACAACACCTAACACACCACTGAATCCTTCCAATAATCGATCTCTGAGCTAATGTCTTCCATTTCTATCTCCACAATATTAGATGTATCATAGGACATTGGGGTAACATACTCAAGCTTAAAACCAACATTTGATACCTTTGAGATGTCAAAATCATCCCAAATAGATGCCTTCCTCGCTGGAATTATTTTCTCCTCTTCTTCTACTACATCTGCCCACGACTTAGTCCCACTCGTCGATGGGCTTGTTATAGCAGATTTAAGCATCACATTCCATTATTCCTGCGCTTGCTTTCTCTTGCCTTTTAATTTCCTTAGCTTGCTGCGGTTTCTGGTTAATTTTCTACTTACCACTATGAGATCCCATATTTCGTACATCTGAGTTTATTTCAGCTCGTCTCTTTTGCTATTCATTCAATCCATTCATTTCCATTTTCTACCAAATGTTATTTAGTAGTGATTCATCATAAAAGATGTTGAATTCTTGGTTAATGTATCACAAGGTTCTCTAATTTTGAACTCTCAATTTGGTTAAACGAAGTAGGTTAGGCGAGGAGACGAGCTGAGGTGAGGCAACTCTAGAACTTTATCGCAACTGTTCAATTTTTTTATGCTGGCGCTTTTTTTAAAATTTTCTGCAAAGCTGAATAATGGCATAAATTTTGATTTTAAAATTCCTCACTACTGCAACATTGCAACCAGCAGCTGCTGTGTGTTTTACAGTTTGCTTCCAGCTACTCTGTTTTACTGTTTGTTGCCAGCTGCGTCGTTAATCCAACTTGTCGTTTATGCTATTCATTCAGTCCATTTATTTCCATTTTCTACCAAACGTTATTTAGTTGTGGTTCTTCAAAAAAGATGTTGGATTCTTTCTTAATGTATCTTAAAGTTCTCTAATAGATTTTTCTTATTTCTTGCAGGTTTTGTTGATATTTCTAGATATCACTTGACAAAGATTGAAATTTTACGTTTTCTGCCAGACTTTTGTTCATTCTTTAGAGAAGATACAAGTTTAGAAGATGCACTAACTCATTATTAGTTTGCTATGAATGTTTTGCAATACTTTGGATGTTATCTAAGTTTTTTTGTTAAGCAAATATTGAACATCATGGGATGTTAACCAATTTATTGTAATCAATTGTACTCTTATCTCTATCTTCTTGCCCCCTCTCTAATTTGATATTTGTCGATGAATTTAGATTCTTTGTGATATTAATGGCTCTAGGATCAATGGTGGTCAGTTAGAGACAACAATTATTGATCGTCTCTAAAGGTCAATCTAGGACTAGAATTGTTGCTCGTCTCTAATGTATAAGCTAGGACTAGAAATCATGCTCGCCTGTAAAGCTATTTTAGGACCAGCTTGTTGTTCGTCTTTAAAACTACTCTAGGACCAGTTTGTTAAGGTCACTAAATCTATTCTATGACCAGATTGTTAATGGTCTCTAACGACCTAACTGTATTCTAGGACCAGTTGGTACACTCGTCTCTAAAAATTTACTAGGACCAGGTTGTGGAAGGTCGCAAAAAGAGTTTTAACGACCTGAATACCAAGATATAAATGCTCTATTTGAGACCAGATTTATAGTCCCTAAAAGGAGTTCACGACCTGAGTTTTTCCCGTCCCAAAATATTTCAAGGACCAGATTTTTGACCTCGTCCTTACTGACCACTAGCGACGGAAGTATCTAGGACGAGTGGCGACCATATTTTTCTGGTCTCAGTTGCTCAATTGAGACCAGATTTACACTTTCAGGGACTAGATTTCCCTTCCTTAGAGACTGTTTTTCTTGTAGTGTTTCCATTTTTAACTTCTAATACATGAGACTTGTAACTTTCATATTAAACATATAGTCTTATCAGCTCGCTTTAGTAATTCTGAATGTTAATGAGCATCTAAAGAGAGAGTCGTACTTATATTTGTTCGAAGATCTAACTTTTATACACCGACTGTAAATTCTTTTTGATAGTATATCTTAATTCTTAACCCATTGTAGCAGGTAAATTAGCTTACTTTTCATGCTACCAATATCAATTTTTATGGTCAGTTACATGTTATCTTCTAAGTAATATTTATAGTATAAAATTCTTATCGATATTCTCCAAGTTATAATGGCAGTCCACTAGCTGCATATAACATTGAATAGCACTAAGAAAAGGATCAATGAAGCCAATAACACTCGAGCTGGAAGGAAAATGGGAAGCTTAGCCCATAAATTATGTACAGCTTACAAGAAGTCTAGTCCAAGGGTCCATATGGACAGGCTAAATAGATTGCCTTATTCGGTCCTCAGCTCAATACACACCAAAAATATTTCATACAAAGGAGTAACAATCTAAAAAGTACAAGAAAAAAGGCAGCTCGGTGTACCAAGTATGCGTTCCGGGACAGGATAAGGGGGGTGTGATGCAGCCGGTAGGTAGCTTACCCTGACACAAGCATCAATAATTTGATTTCATAACTCAAATCTGTGACCTATAGGTCATACGGAGACAACTTACTCTCGCTAATAATCTAAAAGTAAAGAAGATGAAATGAAGTCTCCAATTATAACCTCAAGTGATCCTCAGATTGATCTCCTCCCTGCTCCAAATGTCTCCAAGTGACCACAACATCTTAACTGCGTATTTTTATCATAGTACAGAACAAAAAATCCCACTTACCTTTCTTTGCTTAGGTCTTCTTCTTGTGTCCCAATCGGAAGTAATATAGTACTACTACATAGATGGAAACTAGTAAAATGTGTTGATATAAGCTGCTTCAGGATGGTAATGAAAGATTTCTCTCAGCATCATCTCCCGAATCAATGGTTCTGCCATATTCTCATCAATATCCAGATTAAGAGGAAATTGAGCGGGAAGATTGCACGTTGGATCATAAAGACTTGATAGGTAAGGGTGATAGAGAGCTTCTGTAACTGTTATTCTCTTTGAGGGATCAAAAATGAGCATTCGCTGCAGTAAGTCTATTGCTAAAGGATCAGCATGAGGGAAAAGAGAAGAAAAGTGAGCTCCTCGGGTAAAAGGAAGAGATCGGATGAATCCTTTAGCCCTTGGGTTATCAATGAAATGAAGATCAGCTTCAGGCTGGCTACCAAGGATATTGAGAATAAGTTTAAGCTGATTGAGGCACTCAGTTCCTGGGAATAGAGGCTTCCGGCCAAGAATTTCTGCAAAGATGCATCCAACAGACCAGACATCAATGGATGTTCCATAATTGTCACAGCAAAGAAGTAGCTCAGGCGCACGATACCAACGAGTTACAACATATTCAGTCATGAACTGCCCATTGTCTCTGCTAGTCCTAGCCAGTCCAAAGTCACAAATCTTTAACTCACAGTTGGCGTTCACAAGGAGATTCCCAGGTTTCAAGTCCCGGTGAAGAATATTAGCTGAATGGAGATATTTCAAGCCACGAAGGAGCTACACAAGTACACATCACATGAAAAGTGGTTGGTTAGAAAGAACACATTACAACGATGGAGATCAAGAGGTGCAGTAATGATATCAAGCTTGCTTAATGTAGAATCAGACTTCTGATATACTGATGATTAATGCTGGCAAGAAAAAAGTAATGTCTCTAAAAGATTATAGTATACGCAAATCAGCTGGTGCAGGGGAAAATGGTCATTAAGTATCTCAAATTAAGAAAGGAATTTTTCAACCAATTTCTATTACCTTCAATACAATTCAATTATTTACCAACTTCCTTTTGTGGAAAGTGGAACTGTTCCATTCTATAGCTGTGATGTATGATGCACAATCAAGATTAAGTGAACTTCAAAAGATAACACACCCAAGAACAATCTAGCATTAAAGCAAGGTTCATTTAGCAGAAAAAATCACAATAAACGCCGTAGTTCCAACACTATTTGTCTTCCTAGATTTTCTTCTTGTACCAGGAAATTAGAACTCCCTTGGGGTACTTTCCAGCTTAGCAATCCAAGTTTTATGAATTCTCTCACAACTTCTGAAAGTTCTACAAGACTAGTGCAGAAGGAGAATAGTTTTCTCATAAGTTAACATCTATAAGACTTCTTTGGTTACTACACAATGCACTACATGAATGTTTCTGATAAAACGTTTATATTATAATCTTTCCAGTATACTCCATTAATCTAAGGACCCAAATGAGGGAAAAAATCTGTGGAAAGGTTTCAACTGGAGCACCATTTAATTCTACCAACAGCTTGTGTACAGTAATTTTTTAATACAGTATACAGTAAAAATTGCAGAACAAGTAGAAACTGCATCAATTTTTCAACCAGCAATCTCCGTAATTGCCACTTGATGATGTCCGTTACATGTCAAACGGGTCAAGCTTATTTGAACTATACGTTTCATGAAGAGAAACACACTAAAACAAGATAGAGGCGAACATACGAGTTACTTGACAGTTGATAACAAAAGGTAGCCAAAAGGAGAATGATATAGCTAGTTCAATTTTAGCAATTTGATATCATTTTACTCTTTGGTCTGCTTGCTACAAGTAAATTGTCAAAAAGGGTAAACTTTTTGCTTAGGAAAGTAGTTTTTTCTTCTACCTCTCTTCTTCCCTTCATTTCTCCATCTAGATATCAGATAAAACTGAGAATCCTGAATGCAACCAACAACTAAACATCGAGAAGATAAAACTCAATCAAGTGCTCAAAAACTTACCATTAAGGTAAAATTAGAAAAGTATATATGCATTATGTGTATTAAGACCTATAAGGACAGCAAACAGAAATGAGTTCACAAGCTAGCCAATACCTGAAAAAGAAAATACTTGCAATGATCATCAGATAAAGGCTGCGGCGACTTAATGATATGATTAAGATCCGTATCCATCAACTCATAAACCAAATAGATATCCTTGAAACTACTTCTATGAATAGGCATCATCACATCCTTCAAAGCAATCACATTCTCATGCCTTATATGCCGCAATAACTTCAATTCTCTTAGAGTTCTGAGCGCATCAATTCTATTCGAAAACACGTTATTAATTTTCTTGATAGCAACTTTTTCATTTGTCTCCCTATTCACTGAGGAACAAACCACACCATAAGCTCCTCTCCCAATAGGTTTGATCGGCACGTATTTCGTATCCACTTCAAATACAGTTTGCCACATTGTGTAATAATGCTTCCCTCGTGACCTAATTCCATTCGGAGCCTCCACTTGAGTTGCCATTTCTCTGTTATTTTGCATATAACAAAAAAATATATATATATTCAATTTCTCAATACCCCAAATTTTCAATATCCAAAATTATATAATCCTAACTTCAATAAAGCAACATGTTTTGCACTCATAACTTAGAAAGCAAAGAATAAAAACAGTATACTAATAAGCAGAAAAAGGGGCAGAAGAGAATATATACTTTGTTTTGTGTCGATTCGATCTTCTTCTGATCCGCTTGTTCTTTTTTTTCCACTACAACTTATTAAATTCAGAAATTTCCCCTTTTCTTTACCTTCAATCTTGCACCAAATTCAGAACAACTTTTTCCAACTTTCTCAGTGTAAAAGCATAAGTAAACCGAAAGTATCATAAATTCCTCCAGAAATTTCACTCAAAGCAGAGAAATACAGAACAAAAGTTGCTTCAAATTTTTTATCAAGAAACCAAAGATGGGGTTCACGCAATCAAAATTAAGCAAGAATTTAGGAAACCCATATAGTTCTTCACATCTGTAATTGATTATAAGTAATTGGTAAGCGTGAACTCAAAGCGATATTAAAATAGAAAGAAAAACAAAACAGAAAGGACAATAAAAGGGGTATTTGACGGAAGGACGATTATCTCAAGAACACGACAGCTACCGTATATCTATAAACTAGTTCAGATTCATGCACAATACTTAGTATAATTTAATACTTATCGACAAATTAATTTTACTGTTATTTAATTTTCAAGAATAGCTTTCATTATTTCTTCATCCCTCACCTCTACTTAACACGATTTTCTTGGTCAAGAGTGACCAACATGTTTATTTCCTTGAAAACAACTTTTCTATTACTTTCTCCTCACTTTTACTTGTCCCAGTCGAATTTGGTTTACAAAATAATACTCCCCCAATCTCATATTAGTTGAAAATTATAGTAATAAAAGTAGTTATTTTATATTAGTTGTTCACCTTATTAAATCAAGAAAATATTAATTATAATATTTTATATTATTCTTATAATTAGTTCTTTTTTAAAATGTTCATATTTGTTTGTAAAATTCTCAAAAAGTTTTTAAGGGATAAATTAATAAAATTATCTTATTATTTATGATTTCTTAAATAACATGTAAAACGAAAAGTGATCATTAAATATGAAACGAAGGAGTAATTGACATTATTTTATTAAACTTGCCCTGCTTATTGATGTTTTAGGTCTAAAAAGGTGATTTGAGGAATAAACAGTTGATGTAAAACATAAAAAAAAAAAGAAAAAAAAAGGAAAATTATCTAAATATATTATTTATTTTATCATATTTTAAAAAAATCTCTATGATTAAAAAAATTACAAATAATAATACTTTTTTTAACATATAATTAGTTCTTATCATATGAGATTAGTGTAAAAATTCCACAAAAATAATACATTTTTTTTTTTACAAAAAATGACAAATAAAAATGAAAAATTATTTTTTCATCAAAGAACAAGTAAAAAGTAAACCGATATAGTACTTATTTTTTTTAAAATAGAAGGACACTGATAAATAATAATATTGAAATTGTATTTGTTGATGCGGTAATTGCTCTCTCAAATTTACTTCTTTAAAGTATTTTAATATGTTTTACTATCATTAATATTATATAATAATTAATGTCAAACTTTAATATATATATTTTTAATATACTATTGGATTTTAAATTATGATGAAGTAATATTCTCTTCATTAACTAACTTATCAATATTGTCTTTGATATTGTGTTTCAGTATCACTAATATTAAACAAATCAATTTTAATGTTTTAAAACTTTATATTCGGTTGAATATATTGCTACATAAAACACGACTAGATGGACGGGTGCATTATTGGATAAATTTACAATTATAATTTAAATAGTCGGTGTTGTGAAATTTTAAAGTTTAATTTGGATTATTTACTATTACATTATTTAATTTGGATAAAATAGACTTTTAAGCCGTTAAGCAACTCTAAATCTACGTGGAGTCTAATGAGTAATGTCAACCTTTCTGTTAGTTATTATTTCTACTTTCTTTCGAATTTACTTCTTAAATTTTAACTTCACACACTTATTAAAATAATAATAATAATAATTAGTATAGTGAGTTTATTATTTTATCCATATTAATTGATAGGATATCAATTATTTACTCACTATATTTTTCAAAGACATTAACTCAGTATAAATAAATTGAAAAGAAAAAAAATCTTAATTTATTGAAAATAATAAATAAAAATTAAATTAAGAAATATTTAACGAATAAAAGTGAACAAGGGAGTACTTCCTCCGTTCCTATTTATATGTCACCATTTTGATTTCATGTGCATTAAAAAATTACGTAAGTTTATTATTCTACCCTTATTTAATTTTTTAAGGTCAATTTTGCAATCAATGAATATGAATTAATTTATTTTGATTAATTAATTTGACCAATGAATATGAATTTTTACTTAGTTTTTCTATGTTGGTCAAATGTATATTTTCAAGACTAATAACTCACAAGGGTAAAATAGAAAGAATATTATAATTTATGCATTAATTTTATGAAATGACAAGCATTATAGATTAATTATTTATAGTAGAGATGACATATAAAAAGGAACGGAGAGAGCATCAATTATCATACTGTTGAAGAAATGAAGGATATGCTTTTGGCCGGAAAATGCCAACTTTAATTGAATAAAACGTTTGGTTCGTGGAAAATAAATGTGGATGTTTGAATAAAAAGTGGGGAGACATTCCATAATGGGAGAATGTGCTAGTAGTGGTGCCTTAAGCAATGGGCCATTCTGCGTCGATATGACCCAACCAACCCTTGTTTCGGGGAGGCGGGTTCAGCTTAACTTTTTTTTTTGATATTTGATATTTATATTTAAATATAATTAATTCAGATTTTGGTATTATAATGCTTATTTTAAGAGGCGACACTTTTAAAATAATAGAGTACTTTTTTAGTTTTAAAACTCAAATTTAAAATCTTTAATTAAAAATGAAATATCTAGATCATTGCATCACAATGTTGGTGATCCAACTAGCCCTTAGGCGGCCGCTGCCTTCTACTTGCAGTCCCTACTGTGGCCTCCAACTCATTTGTTTATTTGTTATTATATTATACTTACTCTGTCACATTTTATGTATTTTTATTTGGTCGAATATTTACGTAAAATATAGAATAAAATTTAATTTTATAATTTTAAATATAATATATCATTTCTATCAGATAATGTTATAAAGACAAAATATGAATATTAAAACAAAAAATTGATTTTAACATAGAAATGTGATATTTTTATTTTAAAGTTGATTTAAAAGGCACTGTATCTATTCCCTAGTGTGTAGGACATATAGTTAGGTAAGGTAGATCATCATATTTTTGTGAGGATTGAACACTGAGTAGTTTTTGTGTGAATAATCAATTGTTTTGTAGATTTCAGTGGAATTATTTGCATGAGAGGAGTAGTCATGTAATGTACATAAAAGTCTCAAGAAGCATCACCCAAAATGGAAACTTGTCAATTAGATCTAATTAAACAGTAGTAACAAGTTCTCTAGTTTGTAACTTCACCAAGAAATTAAAATTGTGACTTTTCACAATTAATCTAAAAGTCGTTATTGATATCTTACTTGGTCAGATATACATCTTACGTAATCTTTGTTTTCACAACCACATAACATACATGTGTTAGTGTTATCAAAGATGCATCATGTTATTATTCATCAAATGGAAAAGTACAAGCGTAGTTAGTCACAAGAAAGATTAGTTACGAAGCAAAAAATATAGGGAAATCTCTAAAACCATTCTTTAAAGTTTTGCTCAAATCGTTTTTATAAGAAGAGAAATAAAAAGCAAGTCGTTTTAATTAGTTAGTTCTAATTTTTGAACTCCTTCACTTTAGTACCAGTATTGGTTACGTGAGACACATGATTAAAATTTCTAGCGGTACTTTCAGCAACTAATTTGGAGTATAGTTCATTATTAATATGTATAATCATCAATATATTGGTGTGAGTTGGTTCATTTTATTTTGCAAATTGATTTTCTTTTTGGGCAGCTGATAGTTTTCCATCATGAGTTGACTAATGACTACAATCGAACCAATATTAAAACTAGTACAGAAAATCAGCCTAAATTCATTTAACAGAGATAAGATTAGGACTGCTTTAATTTGTTTTGAGCTTTCAATTCAACTTTGTAATAAATAATGAAGATAAATAATATAAACAAAAAAAAATCTGGTCTTGATAAATTTTACTCGGTGCACACCTAAATTTTACTTTAATCTAATTACCTTTTCAAGAGGTGTAATTAGACCAATGTAAAGTTTAGGTGTGCACTGAATAAAACTCGTCAAGTTCATGGAGATTTTGATGATCTATTCGACCAATAAAAAATGACAACGTATATAGTAGGAATTAAGTAGGTCTACTGAAAAGTATGTGTAACGTAACTCTACTCAATTGTGTATTTCAACCTTACAATTAGATGTAGAAAAGTAGGACAATTAATTCTTCATTCAATTTTGGTAAAATGCTATTATATGACTTTACCACGGAAAATGTAGTTCAACTGACACTAAGCTAATTTCTTATTCAATTAGATGCCGCCCTATTACTCTTTAGTATTGAGATTGAGATAGCATAGAGACCAGCCAACCACTGCTTAATGGATATCTACACTAATCTGATATAGAAATAAATTTCGGATCTAACTCAATCCAAAAGTTAAGTTAGTTCAAAGGAAGGATTTATTCAAGATTATATAAGGAGATCAAGTAATTCATACTTGTGACGGTCTGATCTTTGAATAAATTTGTAAGTAATCAACAAGTTGTAATTGTTAATGAATTCATTATTGGAGTACCATTTTCAACAAATTTCACCCAAGTACAACAAGAAATTCTCGATTATATAGAATCCTTTTTAAAAAGTAAAATGGATGAAATGGTAATATTGTTTCCATGACACTTGACTTTAAAAAATAATTAGAAGGTAAATTTCATGTCGAAAATAATAAAAAGGTTTTATGAGGATTTAATAACTTATAAATCATAAATAGTGAAAAAGTGACTAATTGATAAAAAAAAATGAGATTGTGGCTGCTGGGATTCGAGCCCAGGTCTCCACGGCCACAACGTGGAATTCTTACCACTAAACTACAGCCACTTAGTGATAATGAATCTGAATTTAGGTTATATATTAATCACCGAAAAATGCAGTCAATAAACAATGAATATCGTAATAAACCATTTAAATTAGTTCTACAACTTGGAACATATAAAGTAAGAAAAATATATTAGTTACTTATAGGATTAAGACAAGTTTAAATAAATTAGAAATTTGAGGACATTATTATGTTTGATGAGAAGAAGCTGAAAATGAAAATTAAAGAGATGTAGCTCTGAAACATTTGCTAGTACTAGACGTGGGTGACAAAAGTGAATGGATAATGATTGTAATAGCTACAGTATTTGCATTATTCAAGCACTCCAATGATTGTTGAATATATTACTCCTTTTTGTATTTAAATAAAATAATAATCATAGTGCGTCCAACCAGGATTCCATTTCTTCTCTACAACCCCAAGGGAATTTAGAACACTATATATAATATATATATACTATATATCTATATTACTGGGATTTCTTTCTTATTTAGCAAAGCATAAACTTTTCACAAAAGATTAAAAAAAGTAGAAAAGATTCTTGGTCATTTCCATTGCCTCATATGATTGGATGCTTAAACATATATATTCTATATTGCATTATCGATCGCAGGAATATTTTCTTTGGATTCTATAAT